TACAGTGTATTGTTATAATTGTTCTATTTTATTACTATTGTGAATCTCTTATTGTGCCTAATTTATAAACCAAACTTGATCATAGGTAAGTACACAAAGGAACAAATATAATATATATAGGGCTCAGCACTATCCACAGTTTCAGGCATCCACTGGAGTCTTAGAATGCATCCCCTCAGATAAAGGGGGACTTCTGTGCAAAGTTTAATGGATCATTATAATAAACATCCATGTAAGCAGACACAGATATAACATTGTCCACATTTCAAAAGCCCCCTATCCCATGTTTCTCTCCCTTGTTCCAATGCCCGGTTCTTGCTGGTAAGCACTATCCCAGATTTATTGGTAATTTATGTTTTTCTATTTTTTCCCCAGTTTTACCACTTCAGTATATACCTAAGTATACTTCAAATAATGCTGTTAAATTTTGCTTGTTTTTGAACTTCATATAAATACAATTATGCTATGTGGATTCTTTTATTTCATGTTTCTTTCACTCAATATTATATTTTTAGCATTCATCCATATTGTTGAATGGATCTCATTTGTTGTCAACCCTGTATACTATTCCATTGAATGATTATATCACAATTCATTTATTTTTTCTGCTATTAGTGAACATGTGGATTGTTTCTTGTTTGGTTATGTGTTTTTTTTTTAAGTTTTGTGAACCTCTATTTTTAAAAAATATTTTTATGTATTTTTTATTGTTTTTAAGTATTCTCTACATCTAATATGGGGCTTGAACTCACAATCCCGAGATCAAGGGTCGGATGCTCTACGAACTGAGCCATCCAGGTGCCCCTCCTGTTTGGGTTATTACAAAATGCCCCAATAAACATTCTTGCATGTGTGTCCTTGTGCACATGTACCTGAATTTCTCTTGGCTCTACCTCTAAGAAGAACTTCTGGGTCATAGAGTATGCATATCTTTGACTTCATTAGTTAATACTAAACTTTCCCAGAGGTTATACCAATTTACACTCCTGTAAGTTACTCCATTTCATTAGAAATGAGACAAACTGTATCATTAATATTAATAATACATCTTCACTTATTTTCCAAAGCAGTATCTTCCTGAGCCAGGTGCTTCCTTAGGGTAAATTCTAACATGCCAGCTCTCCTAGCTTCAGGCCGACTGAGTTCTATCTCAGAATGATGTGTTACCATTAAGTGGATCATTGTTTCTCTTATGCGTTACAAGTTAGGTTCTTCCTTGGTTAAGACTTGGAAGTAACAAACTCTTTTGCATTATAGGTGATACATATAATTGTTACATCTCAGGGTAGATCACCCCTGCACATGGTTGATTTTTTGCTATCAGTATAGTACTGCATTTGGGCGGCTAAGTGGAAGGTTAAGAGCATGAAATATGGAGCTGGACTGTCTGGGTTTGAATCCTCACTCTGTACTTTCTAGCTGTATGATCCTGATCAAATTATTTCACCTCTCTGTCCTCAGTTTTCTCATCTAGAAGATGAGAATGAGTACCTACCTCATATAGGGTGATGGTGGGGGATTAAATGAAGTAATGAGTGGAAAGTACTTAAAAAAGTGCCTGGCATTCAATTGCTTTATTATCGATCTGTTATAGTTTTGGGGGCAGTAGAGGTCAGTGGTTACGAACATGGGCTGAAGTCAGAGGAAATTCAGGTCTTGGCTCTACTCTCTCTGGACTGTGAATCATTGAGTGAGTCATATAATCTTCCTATACCTCAGTTCCTCACCTGTATAAACTGAGCTAGGAATCATTACCTTGTACAGGTGCCATGAGGATTGGAATGGCAAGTGCAAAGTGCCAAGTGCTGGGTGTGGGAGCAGTACATGCTAGTTGCTGTCATTTTAGCAGATGGCAGCTACTGTTCATGCCCTCGGATGCTGGGGGTGAACAGCTGCTGGGCCCTGACATCCATAAGTCCTATGCACTGTCCAGTGGGCAGATGAAGAGAGTGGAGAGACCACAAAAGTTATTCCCATTTATGTGTAGGTCCTGGGTGGTGTACACTTAGCTAAATGAGACCCAGTCCACTTGGGCTCAGATATGGGGGCATCCCAGCACACCAGTAACTACAGAATACAATAGTGTGCCTGGAGCAAGGCATTTTGAGGGTCCTAAGGAGGAAATATCTAGTTGAGTAGTGTTTTTAGAAGAGGTTTTTAAGATAAGTCTCAAGAAACATCCATGTAAATGGGAGAAGTTGGAGAAAATACTGGTCATGAAGAGCTCTGAATCCCAGGCCAAGGTATTTTTCCTCAATTCAGTAAGAAATGGGATATTTTATATTGCCAGGTGGCCGTGAGATGAGAGCAGGAGTCTGAAAAATGTTCAGGTGCACTGGGCCAACAAACTGTGGTTTAGCAACCCTACTGTCTGGCTTGCACTGCCATCAGACTCTGGTGCTTTTAGAAGATGATATTTGAAGAGGGATATGCCTCGTTCAGTTTTAATGCCAAATTAATTATGTTTTTCTAACACATTTTCCAAAAACCAATGCGAAGGTGGCTAGTTAACCTCATTGTATCACCTTATTATTGCATGCAAACTACAGATAAAATGCATTAGTATCTACCTGTGGTGGTGGATACCTACATGCATGAGAAAATTGTATAGAAATACAGGTACACACAAATGAGTACAATTAAGACTGGGGAAATGTCAATAAGATGGGTGGACTGCATCAATGTCAATATCCCGATTGTGCTATATTATAGTTTTGGAGGACTTTACCATTGGGAAGAACTGGGCAAAGTGAACAAAAGACTTCTTTGTACTATTATTTTTTACATGTGCATCTTCAATTATCACAACAAAAATTCCAATTAAAAAACATTAGTAAAAGTTATGTTTTGTACAAAATGTGCCATAGGAAGTCACATTCTGCTACCCTCAATTATCCATAGTTAGGGGGTTTAGGGACACATAAAATAGGAGCCATTATTTATCTTGGGGCTCCAATTGGAAAGGAGAGCAAAGTGCCTAGAAGGAAAGAGGTCAACAGTACAGGAATTCCTTTGCTACTTTTGATCTCCGTGAAACTGCACATGACAGTTACCGTACGTACACTTTTGACAAGTTCTGCCACAGAGGGCTGACTTTACCCTGCTGTATTCTGATTTACCTAATGAGTCTACTATGTCACTTTTGCGCCTTCAAAGGTGGCGTTAAAGTTATTCTTTTATAATGGAAGAGAAGTTTATCCACACACACAAAAGGAGTGGTCTGAAGTTGCCGGATGTAGCATTTTAAAATTCGGGGAGTTTTTACCTAACCCATTACTTTCGAAAAGTACAAACCACACGGATGAGTGAACTTAATTTCTAGAGCAAGTTGGAGAAGACCGTGCTAGCAGGGCAGGATTATTATGAACTCTGTAATTATGCTTTCTCTGCTATGTTAAAGGTTTCCCTTCCCAACAAAAGGGCCGACTTCGACTTGAATGAGCGCCGCGAACTTTTATAAAGTGGAAGAGGGGAAGAAATGGCAGGCTGGGAATCGGCCCCGGGAAGGCTTCCACGGCGCTGGAGAACCACCACTTGAATTTCCAGAAAAAAAAACTTCTCTTCCCCGAACTTGCCGACTTCCGCGAGTCCGGGAGCGCTCTAAGCGGTCGGCCGAGCTTCCGCGTCCCGGATGAGGGAAACTGAGGCAGGGAGGGCGCGGGGCGCGCCGCTCTGGCCTCGGCGCCTGCCCCGGAGGAGGGAACCCAGGCTTCCAGAGTTCTCCGCGCGGACGCAAGCACCTCGGAGCCGCCCGCCGCCCCGCCCTACTCGGGACAAAGCCCGAGCCCGCGCCGGGAGGCGGGGGGGGTTGGGGGGGGTAGGGCGGCTCCCGCGCGCGCCCCGCTCCCCCGTGGGCGCTAGACTCCGCCCCGCCGCCCCTGCGGGGGGAGCCCGCGCCCCAACGGCGAGTCGGCCGAGCCGGGCCCGCCCCGAATCCCCATGACGTCACCGGCGGCAGCAGGCCCCGCCCCCGGCCCCGGGCGGCAGGCCGCATGACGTCACCGAGGCCCCACCCCTCCGGAGCGAGTTCGGTCCTGGCGTTCATTTCATTCCTGTCCTCATTCCGAACATTCTTAGCATCGCTCGCGCCGCGCCGCGCCGCCCGAGCCGAGCCGAGCCTCTGCAGCCGCCGCCGCGGCCCCGCCGCCCGCCGCGGGCGCCCACCAAGCACTTTGCAGACTCGCTTCCACCCTGCGGGCCAGTCCGCGCGGCGGGGCCCGGGCCCGGGGCGGCCGCGTCCGGGGACAGGCCATGCAGTGAAGCCCCCCCACCCCGTCCGCCTTTTCCCGGAGCCGCGGGCAGCAGCCCAGTGCGCCCAGCCGGCCCCGGGGCAGGAGCGGTGCTAGGCAGGGGTGGGGTGGCCCGGCCCGGGGACCGGGAGCCGGGGAGGGAGCCGGGCACCGAGCTGCGGGCGGGGGAAGCGGCGCCGAAGTTTGCCTCGGACTCGCCGGGCGCTGCGGCGGCTCCCTTCGCCGAGGTAAGTTGGCGCGCGGGGCTGATGCTGGGTGCGGGCGGCGCACGGGGCGCCGGGGGCTGGGGGCCGGCGGCGCGTTCGGCTCGGGCCGCTCTTTCTCTGCGGGCTCCGCTTTGTGTGCGGCGGGCGGGCACGCGGAGGGCCGGGGCCGGGGCCCCCGCGCCCCTTCAAGGTGAGCGGCCAGGCGCCGCCGCGCGAGTTGCCGGGACGCCAAGTTGGGCCGCGCGCTGAGGAGCCCGCGCGGCAACAGGCGGCCCCCGGCGGCGGCCCTGGAGGCGCCCGGCCGGCCGCGCCGCGCCCCCCGCGCCCCCCTCGCCTGCCCGCCCGCCCGCACGCGCGCACACGCACACACCCTCACACCCTCGGGCAGTTTTTACGGTTTGCTCGGGGAAGTCAGAAGTTCGGAGCGGGCGCGGGCGGGGAGAGCCGCCGGCGCCGCCTCGGTGCCCGGAGCCGGCCGCCCCCCCCCCGCCCCTACCGGCCCCCCCACTCCAGGCGCCGGGGCCCCCCGAGGCCGGCCCGGGGTCCGCGCCGACTCGTGCTACCCGCGGGGGTCCGCTCCTTCTCAAAGATGAAAGAAGGCACGGTCGCCTTTGCCGCTTCTCCAGGACTGTTGCTGCCGCCGCCGCCGCCGCTTCATTGCACATTCAAGTGGAAAATTTTCAGGAGTCAGCAGAAACATTGTGTCCAAAAAAGACTGAGTCGCGGTTACCACCAAACCCTGGAGGAGACTCTCCCTGGAAAACTTCCCTTCGGTAGGAAATACTGGGGGATTTGTTTGTTTATTGGAAGAGAAATGATCCCCAGGAGAGGAGAAAATCAGGGTGTACTTCTAGTCTTTGTTCATAGCAGCAACACTGTTTTCAAAAGTCCAGAGGCCCGCTTTCAAGAAAGTTCAACTTCCATGAGTTTCTTTTTTCTAAAATGCATTTGTGTGTGTGTATATATATATATTTTTTTTTTTTTTTAACTGAAGCAACATTTTAAATGAGTTGAAAACAATGGAGGGCTCACACTTCCCTTATTCTCCTCCCACGAAAATAAATAAAATCCAGATCATAATTTTCTTTGCTTTTTAATTGTCTTTCTTTTTAAAGATTTATTTAAAGTTGAATGGTGTCACTGTATAAAAATATTTATGAAACAATGAAATAGCAGCCACCAGCATTTCTCAGGAGGCTTGTTAACTTCTTAGAAGCAAGTGGCTGCCTGTGATTTGCAGAAATGAAAATTGACCTCAGTAAGCACTGGAAACTTAGAGACAGATGATGTTCCAGGAGCGGGTAATGTAAAAAGGCCTGTTTTTTTAAAACAGTGCCTTGGAGGGAGCCCAGGTCCTGGGACAGAAAGGTCTGCAAAACCTATCACATTTCAAAATGGTTAAGAAAATTTAAAATGCTACAGATACTGCAAAGGAGCAGAACACTTAACAGTTCAGGGCAACCACATGTTTCTTCCTCCCCACCCTTCTCCTTGAGTGTTATGTGGAAGTTTTAGTGGTCTCATCGCTTGTGGTGTGCTGGGTGCATGCAGGTGGTTACCTGAGTAGACGGATCCCTTAGGAGCATGTGATCTGACTGCATTGTCAGAACAGGCAGTGGGCTCCTTTCTCTGCAGTGTGCAGTGGCTTTTGCTGGTGTGTCATGCGCGGGGTTTCTCTGCCAGGGTTCTCTGAGGCAGTGGTTGGGGAACATATCTCAGGCTGTGCCCAGTGCTTCGTCCTTTCACTATTGGGCTTGTGCCCTTTTGTAAATAGAAGGATCTTTGGGGTCAGACTTAGATCCAACTTTGATTAAGAATCTTTCCTCTTCAGAAGGAAATAGTAGAACTAATTACAAAGTGACTCAGGAAAGACAAATGGATTAGTTGAACCTTTGTCAACAGCGAGGTTTTGAATCGTTGATTATTTTTGGGGGGGAAGGCTTATTTTTCTAATCTCACTATTTCCATAAATGGTCACAGATATTTTTGTTTAGTATTTCTTTGTATGTGCAACTCCGTGTTGAGCTCTCAGGTTTCAGATTTTAAACAAGAGTTTGTAATTCTTTTATTTGTTGTTGGTATAAAAAAATGAACTGATAAGCTGTATTCATTACTGGTTCTTGCCGATGGTATAAAAGTGCCAATGTAGACCATTTTATTTTTACTTTAATGATAAGTATTATTTGGCCTGCAGTTTTAGGGGAATATTAATCTTTCTTTTCTTTTTTTTAATTACAATTTTGAAACAAAACCCATGTGACACTTTGCTTTGACAGTATGATTTGAAAAAATATAGGAAAGAATCTTTGTACAGATTCCTCCTCTCTGTGATCTTTCATAAAGTAACAAATAGAACTCCATCCAGAGAACATGCTTGAGAGACTGTTGGAGTTTTTTGTGTTTTTTTTTTCCTTTTCCCAAAACATAAACCAAGACTCACCACGACATATACTTAATTTAAAGAGGGAGGGCAACTTAGTTTAGTTTGAGCTGGATTGAAACAAATTTCTCACGGAGAGGCGGAGAGGCGGAGAGGCGCTTCCTTGCATTGTGGTACAACTTGTGCCTAGGCCCCAGCAGCAAACTAATTATATGTAAGGGCAGGTTTTGGGCGGGGTGAAGCGGGGTGGGGGGGCACTCTGGGGGAAGTCAGCTTCTTCCCTTCCCCTTTTCCTCTACCTCTCTGTTACTTTATACAGCAAGACTTATGTATTCATACACTCACTTTGGGGACTAATGTCCCCTTTTATTAAGAACAAGGACAGGCAAGTCATAAGGAAAAGGGTGTTGGGGTTTTTTGCTGCTTGGGCTTCAGTCATTTAGAAACAATTTTGAATTCTGACGCTGCACATCAGCAAGTATAGGAGGGCATTTCTCAGTGGGAAAATTTGAGAAGAATACAGTTGTAGTGTATCATCCGTTTCTAGATCATATTTGTTATATCTTCAGTAGAAGAGTATGTAACAGGAACAGTTGGAGAATGTAGATCTCAAATGTTAGGCCTTTGAAGAAGTGAGCTGTGCCATAACAATATTTTTAAGGTTCCTTGTTTTAGAAACGGATCGATCTGTCATACATGGTGGTCAAACCAGAGACTGTGCATCTGTGGGATTAACTTTTTTCCCTAATCTCCTGTACTATTACGTGTTAATTGTGAGCATAATTATACTGCCTGCAAATGATAATCGTGGTGTTTTATCACTCAAAAGGTTGGTGCAAATAACTGCGTGTAGGAGCCAGCGTCTGCAAAATGACTGTGTTCACATGCAGACAGTAGGTAGATAACACTTTTAAGCTTGTATTTTAGGCACGTTGTCTTGTTTCCAATAAAGAGATTGCGAAAGAATAAAAATGCTGCCGAGTGAAAGCTCTGCCTAGGGGTTGGATCCATTTAGTGATAAAACTTTTTAGGTCTGTTTTTTCCAAAGACTGAGGACTACTGGCCAGAGCAAGTGTCCAGCTTTCTCTGCAGCACTGCGAAGAAATCAGAGCCCACCTTTCTGTCGATCAAGGGGTGCACTGCAGCTTCCTCTTTAGAGTTCAGAAACTGGAACTGCAGCAAGTGCTAGAGTCCTACTTCTGAACTCGGCAAAAAAAGTATATTGTAAGCTTCCTGCCCTTTGACAAACTTGGGCTCTGCTGCTGGGCTATTGGGGACTGACTGATGGCTGGAATAATCTTTTATAGCTGCCTGGTGCTTTTTCTTATTTTATCTGTAGACGCCACAGATTATGCTGTGGTAAATTAAATTAGATCCCAAATCATGTTTGAACAATATCAGTGATATACTTTATTCTTTCACATTCACAAAGGTGATAAAATCAAGTAATTCAGGTCCATGTTAAGCTCTTAATGTTTCCGGGTTGGGCTTTTTGACAAATACCGGCTTAGACCCCCTGGTCTTGCAATGACTGCATACTTCTGAGATTGGGAAGTTTGGGCCTTCCCTCTTCTGGGATAGTTTGTGGAATGCTAGAATATTTGGATCTAAATATCTGGAGTATTTTTGTGTGTGTTTTTATTTTGTTTCAAACCTGTGAGTTATAGATTCTCATCATCAGCTTCTTTGACCCTATCCCATATCGGAACTTACGAGTTGAAATTCAGCCATCTCTTCAGAGAGCTTCAGCTTTCCTTTGTGGTGCCGAATAAGAGAATTTTGAAATATGTATTTTTATTTTAGTGAAAGCAAATGGGATGCCCTGAAGGGTGGGTTTTGAAGATGGTATTTCTTACAGGGTGGGTCCCACTCAGCTCTTAAGTTCTGTCCACTGGCTTTTTGCATGGTTGGGAAGATTCTCAGAAAATAGTTTCCATAGTCTGGGAGTCCTAGCTTACTGTGAAACCACTGGTCTCTCTTCTGATTGGAAAGGGGAGGGGGATCTTAGAGGCTGTCTTTTCTACTTTTGTGGCAAGCTAAGGGAAGTCTCCATCTTGGCTGTATCCTGTCTCCACCCCCTCCCACGCCCCCATATTTACTATCCCCATCAGTATTTACTATCCTGATGTAATTTTCTGCTCTTTTTGACATTAGTTTTTAAGGCTTTGTCGTAGGATTTCATTAGCAGTTTTAGTTTGAGGAACAGGGCCCAGCATTGGAAAATGGGTTTAAAAGAAAAAAGCAGCTTATTAATGAACAAGTTAAGCACCACCATCATCTCCAGTGGGGAATTCTGGTTGCTTTTAGGCATTTGACAGATTTAGATATATGTGTACAGTGACTGAAACACTATTGACTGGGAATATACAACAATGACGAGTGCTGTTGTTTTTACTGATACATAAACTGAAAAACTGCTGCTAATGGTGGGAAATGTTAATTATGTGAGAACATATTGAACTTATATTCTCTGGCATGAACTTTTAAAAAAAATGCATGAACTGCGCAGCTTTTTTATAGGCACAGCTTTCTAATTATCATAATTCAGTTCAGCTCCACTCTTGGATGGAGTTCAAGTGCAATCTCAATTTAACTTGAAAGGAGTTTTTTTTTTTTTTAACTGAGAATGTTTAAGAAAATTTGAAAAGTTCATCCAAGAATGTTGTCTGCTAAGGTGTTGGTAATTGGGGGAGGGGTGTGTGTGAAATGAGTGCCTTTTTTAATAGTTAACTAGATCTGATTGTTAGATTGACTGTCCTTTTTTTTTGTTTTTTTGCTTTGCACTGTATCCAAACCTGCATCTTGTACATTTTTGCACAACCAGATGCTCTGTGTTGCTGAGTTCTTTTTGAAAACCAGTGTCTTTTCCCTAATAGACTGTAAACTAAATAAATGAGTATTTTATTGCCATTAATGATATAATCTCTGTAAAGATAGGAACCTCTTTAGAGGGTAGCAGAAATCTCAGGAATTCATTCAACGAAACCCACCATTAATCTTGGTTACCAACCAAGCCTTTAGAAGGTAGAGCTCCTCATTTGTTTGTCTTTACGTCTTGACTTGATGGCGTTCTGTGACAGGGGTCGTCTTTGGCAGCATTCATTCACTGTCTTCTGTCCTTTAAATTTTCTATGACCTCCGTGCCTTGTCCAAGAAAAAAAAAGTTAATGAAGCCCAGGCGCCACATCCTCTGCGGAATGGATTTTAATTGGAAGAAAGAACAACTTCAGCTGGACCTCCCGACTTTGTCCAGTCTGACTTCTGCTGAAAGGCAAAGGGAGCCCGCAGAAACCAAATGACTTCATTTGCCCTGGCACTTAAGAGCCGAATTCACTTCCATGGTGGTGAAATAAAAGGAGCCAAGTGTTTTAAATAGCCACTCCCCGAGGCCCG